ATCAGACCTCATATAAACTAAATTTTACATCTTCTCATTGCTACTCTCAGGTACCAAATAAAAAGTTAAGAGGTTGTGTTAAGTGAGGGTTGGAAAAAATAATAAAATATTATAAATATTTGAGCTTAACAACTTTAACCAAACATTACAATAACAATCATAAGCATGAGTGCAATTGATTATTTAAAGAGGTGAGACGGTACAAATTAAAAGATTGAAAATTGACATATTTTTTCCATTTCACTAAAGAGACATTAAACATATGAGAATGTTATTGTCACTGCCTCTTCTATCTTCTCTCTTTCTTTCTTTTTCTCACTGAAATCAAACAGCATCTCTGATATGTTTTTTCCATTTTTCCTCATGATCAAAACAGAATAGTCCATTATTTGTGATATGTTGGCAGAGCGTAACATGTGCTAACTAAGGGATAAAAGAACAAGCAGACTAATAATCTGATAATGATAACTCCTCATGCTAAAAATTTCATCAGAATGTAATTCAGCATTCAATTTTGAAATGTTTGGTCTGAAATTTGTTTTGAGAATGTTTCAGCACTTAAACTATATATCATGGAAAATCAAGAAGAAAGGTATTGTCAGTGGTCAGGAATTAATGAAATCCTTACTGACAGAATAGAGATTATTATATCTATGATTTGTATTGTGTGTTAATTTTTCTTTTATTTGATTTTCAGGCTACTTAATTGACTTTTATTGTCTGCCAAGTAAACTGGTTTGGTAGATAAGTCACCTGCTATGATTCATTGAATCCTTTTGTATTGTCAACATCATGTTGATTTTAAAAAGAATAAAACAGACAAATGAGCCATGAATAAATGAAATAGAGGGAAATGATGTGGTAAAAATGTAAGCTTAAAACTTGGCTGTCTCCAGGTTCATGATGACAAATCCCTGGCAACTTTTCTCTCCTCTGACCTCACACAGCTCAATGGAGAAAAAACTGGCTGCTATTATTCAATACATCCAAAACTAAACTAGTAACATTTCATCACCACTGAGCAGACCCCAAATCTGCCCCAATCCTGATGAGTGATCATACCTTCAAAGAGGTTCCTTGCCTTGAATGTATAGTGGGTATCAAGCTCCCAATGTCAAATAGAATGAATATTTATCTCTGCCATCACAAAAGATGCTGGAACAATGGTCAGTTCATTGCAAAGCTGGTCCAAGGGTTTCATGCCCCCCACCTCTGAATCTATGATATGAGTGGGGATCAGCTCTGTTACATTTTGATTGTCATAAGGTAGTATTCATGTAAAATACAATTTTTATTGCAACCTAATTATGTACAGTAATGGATCATATGCAATATAGGTGGACAATTCAACCTGAAAAATTGAAAATAAATACAAATTAGAGATATCTCATAATAGATCATTCCAATCAACAATGTTTTGTGGCAATTTTTTAACATCAATTGGAGATTTTTCTTGTTAAAAAGTTGAATAATTTTAACACAATCAACATTATGGATAAAAGATAGTGAATTTTATATTCCGTGTTTTTTAGGACTTAAGATGAACAAAACAAATTCATGTACCAAAAAAAAAAATGAACTCAGAATGGTGTCAAAATCCCCAAAAGGTTTTCATCCTTTAATAGTCAGTTGTAATTAGTTTAATTTGTTATGTATATAAATGTAGTTTGAAAAAAGCAGATACTGATAAGATAGTAAGGGTCACAAAGCACTGTTTGAGATCCTCAAGCAGTCTTGTCCCTCCTCCTTGGTCAGGTGGGTTTTGAGGTAGTATGTACTAGCTCTGGTTCCTTGTATTGCTCCAGAAAAACACCTAGCTATGGATGGTCTATCTTTACAAGAGTCAGATCAGACCAAGAATGGAGTATTGCTGCCATGTCTGGGCTGGTGCTTCCCATTCCTCACTGTCCAACCTCAACAGAGTTCAAAAGTGCTTACACGGCCTTGTGAGTGATGACTTATTCTCCAATTTGCTACTATTATCCCACAGATGAAACGTTAACTTCTCACTACTCTATCACTATTATAATGACAGATGTTCGGACTAGTTACATTCCTTAGTTCCACCAGCTCAAGCCTTCATAGCCAGGACCTGCCTTGCTATGTTCACAGTGGCAAATCATCCTCATTTCCTTCATGTCGTTCCTTTGATAAGGAGCAAGTTCCATTCAAATAGCTTCTTCCCCAGAACTGTTGCTTTGTGGAATAGAGTCTACAGACTATGCTTCTGTGACAACTACAATCTTGGTCTCTTCAAGTTCAGGGTCAAGCGATATCTATTCTACATGTCCTTATAATATACATTTCTTAATTCCTCCTTCCCCCTTCCTTACTCAAACCCTCTACCTTGATTAGCTCTTGGGCCTTGTATAGAGTAAATAGAATATATTAAAATCCTCTTGTTCATTTTTCATGACATTCACTCTATTTGTGGGGGTGTAATTATACTCACAGTAACTGTAAATTATCATGACTCATTGAGAAAGATATAGGAGTGGCTTCCTGTGCCATTGCTTTAAATTCATAGTAATCCTTCCCTTAGACTGGCTGCCACCCAAGGCTCAAGATCCCAGCCTACCCTAATATTTAAACCATATTTGGTAGGTGGAAAATGAGTTCATGCCTTTCACAATATCATTTCTATGAAAGTGAATGGCACAGACTATGCAGGAATCTAAACTTGACTTTCTGATTCCACTTTTAGCACTAGTAAACATTATACTAATTTCACATCCTGTTAATAATACTGGTTGTTAATTTTTAAGATAATCCTATTTTGTTATATAATAACAGATTTGGAATGTTTTTTCCTATCTTAAAAACTGTGTTTAACAACATATTCTTTCACATAAGCTGTCCTTATTTGATAGTATTGTACGATCACCGAAGTTAAGCAAGATCAAGCCTCGTCAGTACCTCAATGAGTGACAGTTTGTGAATATCAGGTGCTGTAAACTTAGATGTCCATATGGTGTAATGGATAATGACTTGGAATTGTTAATCGGAGAGCCATGTTCCAGTTCACATTAGGTTCACTTACATTTCCCTTGGAAAAAGTATGAATCTACTTCTTCCCCCACTTCTATGAGTTAATTAGTAAGACTTGTGTCACTAAAGCTATTATTATCTATCTAAAAAAAAATTCTTACACTCTAAAAGTATTTTCTGGCTTAAATAACCTACAAAGGATTGACATAAAAATCAATCAATTATTGATAGTCTCATGATTTCATTAATATGAAATGTCCTGGGTATGACAATAAACTACATCTGCCAGTAAGGCCTCTGATTGGGAGGTTCTGAGGAGCATGAAATCACCTCTTAAATGCTGTTATTCCCAGGTTCATCCTGACCCAGGGTGTTAGCATTTGTTAGGGTCCCAGCTATGGTCATATAGTGAACCCCCAAATTGGGGTCAAAACACTACGAAAATATAAAAATACATTTTCATAGTTACAAAATTACCAGCAATATATTCTAAAAATATATCTTACCAGCAAAATATTTTTTGTAAAAGAAATTACAATATGAAATATCCTGGGTTTGACAATAAACTACATCTGGCAGCAGGGCCTCTGATTGGGAGGTTCTGAAGATCATGGAATCACCTCTTAAATGCCAGCAATACATTTTAAAAATATATCTTAACCAGCAAAATATTTTTTGTAAAATAAATTACTAATGCTCCCAAGAAAATTAAATTTCAGCATTAAATAACCCATAATGAGTCACTAAACAAACTTTAAAATGAAAATAATATTAAAAACATTTGCAAATGTGAAATCAAAACAGTTAATTCAGGAAGTTTCTGTCTTAACATGATACCTTCTTCAGTCAGTGCATTTGTATATTAATAAAATCCATCATACACAATGATACACCTACAAATCTTGTTGCCATCATTCATTTCCTTCATTAAGGATATATGATATTCATTGGCTCTGTGAAAAAAACTAAATTAAATTTGCTAGACTATATACTCCAAAATATATATTTTTTTAAACTTAATTTAATTTAAAAGTTTGAAATTTCAGCATCCCCTCTCCTTTATGTGCATGTGTAGTTGCATCAATGTAAACATGAAATGTGTCACACAAAAATGTTTTCCACTATGTCATTGATTTTTCTAACCTGACTCTACCAAAACGAAGCAATAACACTTCAAAACTGGAAGGGCATTTTAACCCTAGATCATAAATACCTGACAGTAACTAAAGATAAACCAATGCTACACATCTGCCTCAGTCAAGGATATCTAAATCTGCACTTGGTTGTCAAAACCAAAATAGCTTCGTTTACATGTTGAACAAATAGCACGGTTAGCATGTCTTTGAGGAGGCTTCAAGGAATATTAAAGTAGCAAAGTAGATATGGACATTCTTTTAACCTTTGCATGATTCATAGTCCTACATATATTTTGAAATATTTTTTAATTCATCAAAGCTCATATTTAAAAAAGCAATTTTTTTTTCTTTCATTTTAAATATTTTGTAACAACTATAGCACTTATATTGTGCACTTGACAACATATTTTGAATTAGTTTAGTTAATTTTTGTGGATAATTTTTTTGCTTTTAGCTCATTTTCACATTTCATGTTCATATACTTTTCTTTTAAAGATTTTTTTTGCTTTGTTTCAAATATGATGAATTAAGTTTTGGGTTTTTTTCTATACTTTGCATAAAGATCAAAGTGAAACAATATTTGATGAAAGGCTTGGAAGGATGACTGGTGGAAATGGTATACATCAGTAAGAGGAAAACTGCTGTTAGAAATGATCCACTCCGTGCAAATCTGGTTCTTCTTTCTCTTTATTGCATCTCTTTTGTTCCTCTTTTTCCTTTTCTAGATTTTCTTTGATTTCTCCATCCTGCATCTCATTTACTCTTCTCTTTCATGTCTTTCATGTTTGATTCGCCCACATTTCACTTGATCTTGTCATGCCTATTTTCCATTCTGGTGTCTCTTCTTCATCATACATTCTAACTCTACAATATCTTATGTCCCTCTTGCTCTTTCTGACATTTATTTTGGTATTTTTCCTCAGTCACAATTTGAATACTTCATTATGCATTCTTCTTTACATTCACTATTCCATATCCACCTTTTCTCTTTCTCTTGACCCCCTAGCTCTTCTCTTATGCCCTGCTAGCTCTTCTCTTTCTCATGTCCCCCTAGCTTTTCTATTACCAATGTCCCCCTATCCTTCCTCTTTCTCCTGTCACCCTAGCTCTTCTCTTTCTCATGTCCCCTCCCTACCTCTTCCCTTTATCATGTCCCTTTTTGCTCTTCTCTTTCTCATATCCCCCAACTCTTCTGTTCCCCATATCTTACTTGCTCTCCTCTTGATCATCTCTTTCTCACGTCACTCTTCTGTTCCCCTTAGCTCTTCTTTTTTTCAAGTCCCCTTAGCTCTCCTCTTTCTCATGTTCCCTTTGCTCTTCTCTTTCTTGTATTCCTTTTATCTTTCTCCTTCCTGTGTCTAAATTTCTGTCTTTAACTTTCTTTTCTATTTTTATTATCTCTTTCCTCTCCTTTCCATTTTTTTTATCACTTCTTTGTTTTTTAAACTTTATCACTCTCTAATTTTTCTTAATGTATTTTCTTTTTAATTTATATTCTCTCTCTTACCTCCTCCTTTGTTTCCTTCACTATTTCTTGCTCCTTTTTCCATTTCTCTCTCTCTCTTTCTCTCTCACTTCAACTTCTATTTGCAGTGCCTCAACAGGATGTGAGTGATCATGCCTCTCCACAACTTCATATCTTTTGTAGCATTTAGCAATTTTTGTTTTTTTTACTATCCTTCCCACTCTCTGTCTTACCATCCATTTACACCAGCTTGTTAAGTGGATTACTCACTGTTTCCCTCTATCCCTTTTGTATGTCCTATGAATTTTCCAAGCCTTCTTTCCTCATTATGTGCCCTATAAATTTCAACTGTCTCTTTCTGATTCTAAGTATAAATGTCCTTTTTATTTACATTCTCTTTTAAACTTTCTTTTTTGCTTATACACTCCATTTACATTATTCTCAGCATTCTTATATAGAAGCAGGTATTTTCTTCATCTGTGAGGAAATTGTCCAGCATTAACTGCCATATAGGAGGATTAACATTACATAGTTCAGCCCTCTTTGTTTCTAATGAAATTTTTCTGTTTCTTAGTACTTTGTTTAATTTCTGGAAAGCATTTTTTGCTATTCCAAAGCATGCTGAATTTAAACTCCAAGTTTAATTTACTGCATTGAAATAAGTCTTTCAGCTTTTTGTTTTTGTTTTCTTAAATCTGTATCAACTGGCAGAAACTTTTGTTAAATATAATATCTCAGATCAGTAACTGATCTAATATGGCTGTTCTCTTTATCAACACCTAGAGGCTTTATACTGTAACCCTGCTGTTTCCCGGTATGGCTGATTTTTCACTAAACCGCCAAACAATTCACATATTAACACCTGTTGTGACATAAAAAAAATTTATAATCTCATCAGATGAATTTACTTGTGTCATGAGTTCAGTCTTCATTGGTTGATCTACACTCTCCCATATATCATTGTATATTATTTTTTAAGCATTTCACCCCAAGCAAGATGGGAGTGTCACTAGTATGCAGGGGGTTACAGAAAGTAAAAGAAAAGACTGGTTAGAGGGGGGATGGAGGAAAGTATAAAAAGAACAGAGATCAAGATGATGATTGATGTTGCATTTAAATTTTTAAAGATTGTAGTTATCAGGGAAGCAAGTAAGAGGAAGGGAGTCCCACTGTCAGGAAGGGCAAGAGAAGCTGGTGGAGTAGAAGTGGTGGTTACATTTAACTGTTTCAACAGTAAAAGGGTGGGACCTAAATGCCAACCTAGTAGCATGCTTATATTATTTACAGCCAGTCTAATATCTTCATTGTCATCATCACAATATTTCAGCTATTATGCCTTTTGGCATTTTTAGGTATCTGTCAATCCAGTAAACTTTAAAGTTATTTCAAATTTTGGAACAGTAGCTGTGAGGATTAAAGCTTTAGTTTGCGAATTTGGTGGCACGGTAATTATGAGTTCAATCCCTAGCCTGGGTAGTACAAACTCAGGCTCAGTGGAAATAGGACTAGCAATAACTGAACAGTACTAAAAAAAAAAAAAATTAGCTAGACAAGAGATCCCTAGACATGGAAACAAAATATGAAAAGTCTGTTCCTGTAGATTGAATTAAAATGTTCAGTTTGAAATTCACTGAAGGTTAACCTGGATCAACTGATATCTGAAAAAAGCTGGAGGACATAAACATGATTAAAAACAACAAAAATGAGAATGTTAGTCCAAATGTAAATAATGATAACTTCTCATCCAATAAATTCAGACAAAAACTGTTCCCTTTATCAACCAGTTACCTGGTACATGTTCTACTAATAACTAGACTATTCTGCTGCTGTAGATGTACTTATACATTTGTACAAAACTTACATTGCTTACTATCAACCTATTATAAGTTTTCAAGACACCACGAAATTCTACTCCTTAGAATTTGTTATAAACTAACTGGTGCTTAGTGCTATTTTCAAATTAATGTGGATATATAGTAGCATACAATACAGCCTGTTTTGTGATATATTTTTATTATATTGTGTGATGTGGGGTCCACTTAATCTGTACTGCAGAGTATCCTATAGAAAAAAAAATGATGGCTCCCATGAAAAGTCATCAGCAGTGTCTTTATAGATATTTATTTCCAGTAAATGCCAATTTCCTATTTTTCTAAAAATGGGCCAGCACAGCCAGGCAACAATGCATGCAGAAAAGTGTTGACATTGAATTTAGCTCAGTTCCACTGGTAGCCATTTCCATACAGAAAGTATTTGGCAATAATTGACCAAGCAGCATAAATGTCAGTTGAAATTTAGAAAATTTTTCTCTTGAAACAGTTATTCAGGAAAATAGGTTTCTAGTATTGATGGGATTTTCCTTCCTAAGCTTTTGCTTCAGGTAGTGGAGAAAGTCACCATCTCAATTATATCATTATTTTCCATTCTAAATGTGGTTTCTGTTATTTGGTAAAGTTCTTTGTGATTCTATAGCACCAGTCTCTAAGATCTGATGAAGGACTGTCTTCTTTAAGACCTGGAGGATGTAGAATATTTGTTAGCTTGCAAGTGGTCTGACACACAAGTAAACTGGAATATTTATTGTATGAAATATACAATTGTGGCACATGGCCTAAAAAAGGAGAGGGATTGAGGCTGGTCGACACTATATTATCCTATACCTAGCTAATCTGATTCATGACCCATTCACTCATAACAATTTCCACATTCACCATAAAAACTTGTCCGTCACCACTTAATCCTCCATACACCACAATACCGCATCCTCTCAAGGGGGACCTACAAAACATGCCCCCATAATATCAAAATTTAATGATAATATTATACATAAAAATCTAATAATGAAGAATGAGAGGGGAGGGAGATGAACCCAATAATAAACTAAAAATCAACACAAAATAAACTAAACATAACTGATGTTAGTAGGGCCCGTCCAACCCTCAAAAAGGAGAGGTCGTTGTATTCTGCCGATTGGACAAAATCAAGAGGCTCTCTGGCTAAGGAAGTGGGAAAAGGATAAAAAATTATACAGACATGGGGAAATATAAAGCTGACCCAGTTGAGATAAAAGGAAGCCAAAACAAACTGGTTGGGAATCTCAACATGGATCATAACCAAAGATGTGGCCGGGGACAGGCCAGGAACAACACTTACTCACATTAACTAGGTACACAAGGCTTGTCTAACCTTACCAAGGGGAGGGCTCCACAGGAAACCACAAAGATGTGATATAGGTTGACCTAAAAGAGAAAAATCAAGGCTAATCCCGTTCAAACGAACCAAGCTTGCCTCAGTCACTCACCTTTCGCTAAAGACTGTCGAATGCAAGCGTTTTCTATCATTTCTGATCTTCATCTTGAGCTGATGCTCAAAGAATCGGATCAGATCCTGATGAGAAAGACAGTTGCCTCGCAAGACTTCCTCCTGTCACATTGTCCAAATTACCATTCGGGCCATGGCCAGCAGCATCAGAAACACCATTCGTTTCACCCCAGAATACAGGGACAACACATTATCACATGCATATACACGATCGATGAGCACGAGGGACAATGGTAGAAGGCATGCGAAGCCATTTCTTCTAGACCAAGGCCACACCGTTCACAGTCTGGCAAATCCACCAAGCCCATATGAAGACCTTGTCATTGAGAGGCAGCCAATTCTGAGCCAATCGCCAGGTAAGTGAAAACTCAGAGTTACTGAGATAATCAGAAAGAGCGAAACTCCTCCTCTGACAAGTCGAGCCGCTCACGTAGGGAATCCTTCGCGACCCCCTCCACTAGATGATGATAGAAGACCTTCCTAGGCTGAGAAAGGGCACTGGACCAAGAAATAGCCAACAAGGCCAACTGACACTTGCAAAGGAAATCCGATTGATCCCGGGGTTTGCGATGGCGCTCAACCCGCAAGATGGAGGGCTTGATAGTAAGGTAAGGGAACGCATCCCTAACAATCCTCACCATAATCAAATCTCCTGTCAATGTGCAGCGTAGGAAAGCCAACCTCGAGTCGAGTTTGTGGCTCACCAAGTGTGGCATTCCCAGCCCCCCATGACACAGATGTTGTGCACAGACTTGTCTGTTGACCCAATTCCCACGTTCCCTCCATAAAATGGAGGATAGCGAGCACTTGAGCGGCTTCCTATGGTCATCATAGAGAGAAAGTACAGACAATTGAGAAAACACCAGTGGCACATGCCTCCGCCCTGCCCTTCACGGGCAACCTCCATCGATGCCAAGTCTGACCAATTTTTTTCCAGCTGGAGGTCGGGTCTAAACCACACTCCAAGAATGTAGACAGGACTGTCCATCCAACCGAAGAGCCCCGGAAGATCAACTCCCTTCCAGGCACATAACCACAAGCCGGATAACTTGTCGCGGTTAATCTCTTGCCCCTTGTCACCTTTTCGTACTGATTAAGTGCCTTCAGTACCACCTCAATGTCACGGCGGGACAACACGAAAGCAGATACATCATCGCATCAAGAGTACGTCTAACCAGCAAAGATACTTCTCTGGCCAGTCGTTCCCCATATACTGAATAAACGCCAAAGTCGCTATCCAGCACACACACATCAACGTTGCAAACAGAGTGGGTCTCTTGGATTGCGGCAACATCCACACCGAAAGACAGGAGATCCCAGAGCAGGTGGACCACCGTAACCTGATCCCTCAAGCCCTTTACATTCAGACTGACATCATTTAGGCCTGCAAAAAAAAGAGAAAGAGTCTGAGCAAAAAACCTACTCACATACTGGGCGGAAATCTGCGTCGGAAAGGACCACGACAGATTGTCCCAGGCTCCCTGTGCCCAACTTTGTCATCATCCGACCATTTAGGACAATACCGCCAACATCAGTAGGGTATGTTAGTTTAACAGCCCTATATAAGGAGGGATGG